AGTGGCGAGAAAAATTAGCGGAGGCTGAAAAACAGTGCGAGCACTGCAACGAGCAGATGGCGCTGCGTTCGGCACGGCTTGCCGATGAAATTGAGCAGGAACAAAATGAATTAGGAAAAGAAGGTTTGTGCGCTGGAAATTTTTGATAAAATTTGAGTTTGGGGATTTAATGTTACTGATATGCACTCATCTCTTGGGCACAGTTCTGTGCTGGGCTGCTCCGTCTTGGGTTGCGCGCTTTCAGTTCGTACGCATTTCCCGTTTCATCCGAAAGTCTAGTACATTTATGCGTCGTTTCTCTGAAAGTCCCCCGAGTGCGCGTATATTTATCAGTAGCACCTCATATTGATCGATAATTGTGCCGGTTTCGGCGTGATAAACGAATTGCCCCGCTCATTACGTTGTCACAACCACTCCCCTCACGTCACGCGTCTTGCTAGAAGTTTGACTGCATGTTGTGTTACAAAAAGCCGCCCCAAGCATCTTTCTCTGCATCGCCCAGTCAGCATCCGCTATTTTGCCTTCGTCACATTATTACCTTCATCGTACTGGCACTATGTTTTTGGATTAATATTTGAGAGTGCTGATGGTACTGGAAAATTTTGCGCCAACTGCGACCCCTCTGACGCTCTCTTTCCTGCTGGAGATTTTGGCGCACAGGAACTGAAACACGGAGGAAATGGTTTGCGAGCACCACTTCCTGCTGACGTGAACTCCACTCCGGCAGTTATTTCTGTTTCAAACAAAATAGCGCAATACACACGATGCCTTGTTTTGTTGCGCACCTACTGGGAATTTCGTCTGATGTTCTGTCGATTTCGTCTGTCCTCAAAACACTTGTGGGTGTATATGAAGAGGTTCCGTTCCCCCGCAGTGATTACTTGAGCATCTTTTCGTTTTCTGTAAACAAATCACGCCTTAGATCGACCGAGAAGCGCGCAAGATACTGGGGGCCGTCCCTTTTTTTTTTTGATTTTATAATCCTCGTGTAAAGTGCGTTTTGCATGTACTTCGAGTGTTTTACTGCATAACCCATGATCAGGCTGCATTGCCCAGCCTAATTCGCACAAAGTGTAACAAGGTGTCTTCTCTCGGCATGCGGGATTAACCTCTGTATTGCAGTGAAATGTTTCGCTTGGATTATGAAAGTAAATTTTAAAAAAAAAAAGTTCTCAAATTCCAGTTCTTGTAAAAATGCAACATTTCCGTCTTACAGATTTGAAAATTGCTTTGGAAGGGGTTTGGCATTCATTGAGGAAATCAATCGCAAGGGCGAAATACGAATCTTATAGGCAGGCTTTGAATGGGCAGAACAGGTTTGTTGCCCCTTTAATAGTTTGAGCCATTCCCCCTTAGTGCATCAGTTGGCTTCTTCTGCAAGGACAGCGCTTTACCTTCTGACTTGGTGGAGTATCAAACTTGTCGGTGTGAAAGAAACAAGTGCGAGAAATTATGTTAGGAGGCGCAAAATTCAGCCCAGGAAAAGTGGACGGAAATAAAAGTGTTTTATATCAAAAAGGTACAAAAATCTTTTCCGAATTATTAGACTGCATTGAAAAGACAGAGTGAGTCCAGAAATATTGAAAAAAATTGCAAGCGGGACGAAAATCGTATCTTTTTCTCGAGATTGATGAAGTTTAGGGTCTTTTTTCAGCCGTGTGCTTTCTATAATTCTTTTATTGTCTCGCAGCTATTCCTTGTTTTTCGATAAAGAAATTGCAGTAGTCTGATTTCAGAAGTGATGTTAAATTAGGCCTTCCTGACGAGTCGATTGGTGGCTTACGACGTGAAGACGCCGCAGTTTCATATTGTATTCCTGATTCCTACATTTGTGCAGTAAGTTATTTTTTCCTTACAAGAGAATTCGTAAGGCATTCTCGTCGCTGCTGTTTTACACGGAAGCTGTTGCATGACGAGGAAGTACATATGTTTCGGATATTTTCGCGCCTCTCTCTCATTTTTAGAGTTTTTTACCCAGCTCTTTTCCTGCTTCTTGTTTTCAGCTATCGTTCTGTAGTAATATTTATGGCATTTCTTATCTGCTGTAGCTCTGTATAATCGCAAAACAGACAGTGACATGAAACAAAAACAGCGCTGGAAAATCCGCTGATCACCGCAGAACTGCTGATCTTAGGGTGTTCGCTCAACTACGCTACACCTCTAGACACATGACACGCCCTTGCCATATACTTCCAACCCCTTTTTACATCATTTATTATGTCACTGCACTTTGCCAGCAGTAATGCTGCTCTTTCCAACACTCAGTAGCAAGGTTAGTTGAGAAATTTTTGGAAGGTTTTTTGGTTGAGTAGTGACTAAAATTTGGTAATTCATATGCTGCTTAGCGAAAAAAAGCTAAATTTATTCCGTTCCTGAGTCTGTGAGAGAGCATTTCGACTGGTGTCGCATGAGCCAAGAGCTACCGCCAGCTGACAGTTCCCTGGCTGCCTCAATAAAGCGTTTTATCCTAGTCCATTATAGGGCATGGAAGTGGCCAGCTTTCTGCTACTCGGGCATAATACGAAAACGTGGTCAAACGTTTGCTGTGTTGGGAAGAGCACCGAATTTTTCATCACGAGAAGCATGCAAGATATTCTTGTAACTGTTAGAAGCAAAATCCGCTGGGCGAAGCGCGTTGAGGTGGAGCGGGGGAGGGGGGGTTATCGCCTAATTCTAAGTGATAACTCTAAGATGGATAGCAGCTATCCGGACGGTATTCCGAATAGATATTAGGCAAATGTGATGAAGGCAGGTACGAGCGGGAGAAAAGTTTTTTTGGACGATAGGAACTCGTATGGCTATTCTCAACATTATTTTAGCAAAGAACTCTGGTCGCTGTTGTATGCTGTTGTTTTCGGGACTTTGGTGAGTACCAGGGAAAGGCTGAAACAAAACTGGTAACACGCAGTTCTGCAGCTTATCATTAGTTATCACAAATTACCTTGTTTTTAGATCGTAGGAGTTATAATGGACTTAACTGTGATATCACTCTACAGATGCTTTTACGATTTGTATGTTTCTGAGTCTTGTTTGGCGTTAGTGAGGCGTAATTTGGTAAAAGCGCCGAATTCGTCTTACGATTCCAAAAATCTTTTCAGACTGTACACAACACACTGCAACCCAAAGAATGCGTGTCACTATCAAAAGAGTCAAGTGAAATGGTGGAACCGGCTACATCGCCTGTTGATGCTTGCTCGCAGTGAGTTCTTGTTCTGAGACCAGTTTGTCGCTAAATTTGTTAGATATGTGGCTTATTGGTAAACGTGTGCAGCACATATTCGATGTCAGTACTTATATTTTTGCTGCCTGACATCAAAAAAAATATCATTGCTTCACTCTGAGGCACATGGCTCCGTGGGCGCTTGAAGC